GCAGTTGGTGGTGGTGATGTGGTGGCCGGTGGTGGTGTGGTAGTGATGGTGGTGGTGGTGGGTGAGGCTGCCGGAGATTGGGAATCGGCAGTTATTAGTAAAATGCAGAAGGAAGAAAGGAAAGCAAATAGGAATTTGGGTGCCATTGCTTTTGCTGAGAGGATTGGGACTTAGGGGAAGAGTTTTTTGATCCCTCGATTTATAGCTTAGGGAGGTTTTAAATAGACGTGTTTGTAGTTTGGTGATATGTCTGATGGGAAAATTTTGTTTTCAAGTGAATGCTATAGTTTGTCTACTCTTTTGCCAATGTGTTGTCTTAAAGGCTCTTCAAATCTTCAGTTTTTTTTTTCTTTTTTTCCTTAATCTTAGATTTCTATGTTTCATCATGGTTCGAGTTCGTATCGTATATTTAAGACTAGGGTGGTATTCGTTTGAGATTTCGAGTGATATTTCGGGACTTTTTGAAATTTAGGTTTTTGTTAGATTTTCAGATTTAGGAGCAATCTGTGAAATCTTAGGGGGTTATTTGGCTGGGATTTCGTGTGATATTTTGAGACTTTGAGATTTGAGTTTTTGTAAGATAATCAGACTTAGGAGATATCCGGTAAAATCTCAAGTCTGGAGGTGGGATTTCAGGTGGAAGTTCGTATATGTTTTTTTCCTTAAAAATCTCAGCAAATCTTAAAAAGTTTAAACAAATTCTAGTCTCAAATAAAGACTTTGCAAGACTTTAAAACTCCAAACAAATAAATCAAGACTTTTAAAAGTTTTAACAAGTCCAAATTAAATACACCAGGATCCTTGAAGTTTTAAAACGTTTTTAGAAGTTCCAAATGAATACGCCTCGTTTAGGCAAATTAAAAAAAAAAAAAAAAAAAGATGTAGGTTTGTTGTTATGAATATCTAACCATTAGGTAGGAACGTTATGATATTGTACAGTATTCATATGCATTTTTATTCAAAAAGTGCGATTGTTCACGCCATTGTGCGGTTGCAATATGATAAGTTCACAGTATGCATATGTATTTCTGTTCGAAAAGTGAGATGGGTCGCACTGTCTAACCGTTAGGCTACAGGAAAACAAAGCTTATTCTCATATTATGCATGGTGTGCTTGTGTGATACTGATATACAATAGATGAAAGCTCTAAGTTGTTGGATTGTGTAGGTGTTGGGTTCTCATTGGTAGCTTGTATTTGTATTTTCATTTTGGTATGATTGTGTGTTACTATCAATAAATTAACAATCATTGATTTGGCGTATGACTACATTTCAAATCATTGGTTTTGCTATGAAGTCAACAGTTGGCTCCATAATGGAGCCAACCTTCGGTATAAAATAAGTAAACCTACCATACTCGTTGATTAGTTATATAACACTAATATAATTTTATTAATATGGTAGGCTTACTTGTTACAGAAGGTTGACTTCATAGCAAAACCGATCAAATCATTCCTATATCATATTCAGTGTTTTAACACAAAAATTATGAGTGTGGGTTTGTTTTGATCAATTCTTTAGTTTTCTTTAGGGTAAAGCAAAATGCAGTTTTGTCACACATGTAAGCAGATGTGTGTGTATATAACTAACAAAATGATGGTAGGTGGATGAGAA